TTTTTTAAATGAAATAAAATGAACACCCAATTTAAACAATATCCAGTATTTTCTACCTCTCCTAAATTTGTAATAAATATGTTATATGTCATTAATTTTCATTTGATTCCCTATACAGTAGAAATTTCAGGATTTCTCCTCTGGAAGTTCCAATAATATACTTAGAAATACATTTTCCTTTTTTAAAATTTGCATGTAAAATATACTAAAAAGCCTGCTTTTGGGGTGCCAAGGTGCCTAGTCCTCTGTCCAAAAGTCTATGCCTTTCATTCTGATTTTATGGCTCCAGAATTGCTTATACCATCTCGTGGGTCCCATCTCCATACACATATTATCACTTCCTTCTTCACATATGCCATGCCACCAAAAGAGCATTCCTAAAGCCCAGCCTCACATTTCCCCATCTTCTTTTATTTTTCAGTTTCATGAAAAAAATTTTGCTCCTACTTTAGTCACTGCTTTATCTTCTATTTCTCAGGTATCTATAATTTTAAAACATCAGGGTTCCAAAAAGGTTTACAGAAATAAAATTATAAATACTCAAATTTTACATGCTAGTAAAATTGTGGTTGGATAGGAGTTACTGAATTACATCACAAGTTTTATATGTGTAAATATATATGTATACATATGTAAGCTATTTATCATATATATGAAGTTGTACATATATTGTACAATTGATTGAATGCATTCAATTTCTTTGATAAATTGCTTTGTAGAATCTTTTATGAATATTTTTTTCCAAATTTGATGTAAGATGAGGGCAGAAACTGAATAATTTAGTTCCTCTGATCTGAGCCTAGTACAGAAACAACACAAGATTCAATGAGCGGACAGCCAGGCCCCAGGAAGTGGCCCCCACCCATGCTGTGTCCCTGTTCCATTCTCAGTTGCCATGGCTCCTCATATAACCTGTGTGCCTCACCTCTTTCCCACAGGAGATGGGTGTCAGAGGTCCAAAGCAGCTGGCCCAGTGGTCCTGGACTCCTATCTGACACAACCTATTGCAGGGCACAGAATAAGCTCAGTGAAGTTATGTAAGGGAGGGTGGAAAATATATGGGGAGCTGCAGTCAACTATAATGTGTCCATGGAAATCAACTCCCAGAAATAGCTCAGTGTAAGAGAAAATCAAGGACTCAGTCCCTGACATACCTTATGAAAACCAGAAATGGTATCCGATTACTCTCTGTAACTAAAAAGCCTTAATATCACCAGGCCATCCAGGAAAAACAATATCCAGAAAAAGAAGACTTCCACCAGGTCAGTCCAGGCCCACCAGCTCTCTCACTTTCCTTCTTTCTTGGACTCACCTCTCTTCTTCCTCCTTGGGATATACTGCAGATCCTCTTACCTGCTGCATCTTTTTATCCAGCTTTCTTTTATAGTCTTCTACCACTGTCCCAGTTTCTTCTTGG